GTGACCAGACTGCAACACTTGCTGATCCGGCAGCTGGCGGCGCGATGACCAATATCTAGACAATTGTAACAGCCACGCTTTTCTCTAACCAGATCCCAGCGTTTCGCTACATTCAGCGCTTCGAAATTAGGGTACGATGACGTACTGTGATTGTCTCCACAAGCCAAACACATAGATTCCTTGGGCGTTTCTAGCGTGTTGTACAGGACGAAATTGGGATCGCTTCCTTTGTCCCCAAATAATCGTCTCGACTGAGCCTCATTCAGCTGTCGTGGCGTACTTGCGGTCGCTATCTGCCCTAACCTAATACGGGCAGCACGAGCTTCAGTGGCGACGAAGTCCGCCAATTCTTTAAAAAACAGTTCCCCGTCCGTCAGCTGTTCTCGCCCATCTGGTTTGCCGTGAGGTTGGGAGAACGCGAACTATTCGCTCGTCCATAGTTTAAAGCAGCAGTAAAGTTCATCTGAAATAGGGCCACATAACAATTGCTAAGTTTCCTGGTGAGACGCGACAGAGCGTTGTGATCCTCATCGAGTGGTCTCAAACCAGTAAGCAGACCATCGATTAACAATCGGGCAACAATGTGGCACTGGCCAAACAGTTCGCGGAGGACGGATCTAGCCTTGTGCTAGGCCTGTTCAGGGAGCAGCATTAAACACTCGCTTATAGCCTCTTTTGCATTACTCCTGCAATAATAATAATCTGTATAGAGCAACCGCTGCCCACCGTCACTCACACGGTTCTCGAGCAAATATTGAAACTGCTTAATGAATTTCCAGTAAGCTGCCGGATGACCATCAAAAAAATCTAACTCAACCTTCGGCAAATCTAATGGCGTAAGACAAACCCCCTGATAACGGTTGATGATGTGGCATGGAGCTAATCATCAATGGCACGGTCTCTTGATAATCACTCAACAACTGACTCATTCGATCTATCCTAACATTAGGTACATAACTGAAGGCAACGAGATGATCGGTGCAATCAGGACTCTGTTCTATTTCTAGTCGAAATTTAGCTATCTCTAACTCTGTTTCAGCTTTTGTACTTTAAGTTCCGCTAGCCTTAAAGCTGCACGCGCACTACTTCTGCAACTACTGTGCGATCCAGAACTAGAAACAATGTCATCAACGATGCTCAAATTCCCGACTTACTGGGATTCATTCATGACTTCCTTGGCATTCGTGGTGGGCTTCTTATCCTTGGCATTGTGCAGTCCGGCGGGGCAGACATTTCCAAAGCAAAGAAACGTTGATCACTTGCTCCAAACTCAGGGATCATTAAGCACTGTAACATCACAAAGTGTTTGGAAGCTTGAGCCACGCGTATCCCGCCGGGATGTCCAACAAAAAACCATGTCCAGGTCTGATATAACGGTGCTGTTTCTACAAATTGTATCAAAATAGACATTACCTTAACGATTTCCGAACTCAAAAGTATGCCAACAATTTGGCCTCGAAACCTTCCTGTTGCTTACAAACTCGTAATCATTGGATCACAGTTCAGTAGGGCAGGTTAATGCTGTCATATCGCCAACTACACCTTCATACACAGGGATAGTTCATCGCATTCCACATTTACAACCGGGATGCACTTGATTCTTGAGTGTTATCACATTATTTTACTGGGGCTTTTACTCCTCATCACGTGGTTCTTTTTGGGTTTGTGAGTTAGAATGCGGCTCGTAACCTAGATGTGACGAGCTTGTCTCGTAATTTTGCGGCGCGGGTTCGAATCCGCTTAGGGGTGAGCGTCCTCGCGGTATGCTCAGCCCGCGTGCGACTGGTGGTGGTCGCGCGGCAACGAAGCACCGCTGCGGCGTACAGCTGACACATTATGTATACGCAGACGACATGAAAGGAGGCATGCTACTTACGTGCGTACTGACCGCTTAGCTCCTGTGGTTTATTCACTCCATGGTCCACTGAACTCCATTACTTGATGTACAGGCTAGCGACAGGCGGCATTTGTATTCCGGCACATTCCATCTACCTGTGATGCCTATTGGCGCGATTTCTATGTGTGTGATGGGATCAGAAGGTATACGCTAATAAAACTAAGATGTGTAAAAGCAATGTGCGTAGTTCGTATACAATAAAGTTTATAAATGAATGCAACAAGAACAAAATAATCTCTGACTTATCTGTGGTTCGCTGGGTAATCCGTTGATTAGGAAAAGCCTGTGTTTCGACGCGCGCTTGTACTTCATAGAAGGGCTTGATAGTGATGTGTGTTAAGGCCGCGTGTGCACATGTGTGTACGAACGAGCGCGCGCCTAAAATGTATGATTTTTACTTTAAAGTCTGTTCATTGGACTTTGAGCCTTCGCCCTGAGCGTATCTATTGATATCAGCTTATGTGTTCAAAACCGATAACCCACCGATTGATTAGCGTTTCCAAGGATCGGTGTCGGCAATATGACAAGACTTACACATGCCTTCACTGGTGATTCGCGGCTCTTAGCGCTTTCTCTGCTTCTGTTTTACCTTTGCTAACGCCTCTTCTTGTTAGCATGCTGCTGTTGACTATCTGGTATCAAGGCGACGTCAGCAAACGTGACTTCATCCATTGCTTTGGTCACATTAGTTAGGCTGTCTCATCATATTTCGTTCATATCGTAGCGTACTTGTGAATCCGCACCCTGTGTCGGATTAATGCGGTGACTGGCGAGCATCGCTTCGTGTGAGCTCTTGGCTTGGCGTAGTCACCAAATTGAGGATTTCAGTGTTGTTTCTCTCTACGCTGACACCCCAAGACGTGTTTCTCCCCCCCCCTTTCCGGCTCATCAGTTGGAGTTAGCCTGAACTGGGTGTTGAACCCAGGATCTAATGGTTAACGGCTAACGCCTTGATTCCTGTGCCACTGAGATTCATAAGCAATGTTGGGCACAACGGACAGGAATCCGCACTTAAGAGTTTGGTATACTCGCCATGTAGTTGGCTTGCAACATACATTCTTTTTTTGAAACCGCAGTATAGTTTGAAGTAGACCTCACCAATTTTGATCACTAGAACCGTGTCCGATGTGTAGGGGTTTTACTCACTGAATTCAATGTGTACTTGCTCCATATGAGGGTGCGTATTTACAACCATTTGATGTTGCATTTATGATGCTACTTCATCGCAGTTGGGCTTAACCAGCTTACACTTAAACTAGGTCTTTTTAAACTGGGTAAATTTCATTCAACTTTATTTAGTTTGTTCTGCCTACCGAAATTCTTCTACTAACTGGCCACGTTGCTTACGCTAATTGTGATTATCTTTGTTAACTTCATTACGTTTGTGGCCATTTTTTGAGTAACTAGCGGACATTTTGTACTTATCGCAGATTCGTTGCTAAGCAACTTACTTCGTATGCTAATTTAGTGAAGAGTAATGTCGGCATAACCGTATGCATTAACAGATATAATTCATTTGATAATGTCATTTTAAGTGATTGGCTGTTGTTTGATATCCCCGATGTGGCTGCGCCTGATGTACATGTTGACAAGATGCTTACCTGTTTACTACCAATGATTTCATCCATACTGACTCCATGAGACAGTTGGTTGTCGCTAGAGGGGACGGCGTGCACTGTCCTTGTGGCCGTGCTAGGATCGAAGAGTGGTTCCATGCACTCAGTTTGGAACGTACTACGGTCCAGCCACCGCCTTGTGTGCGATTGATTCCCAAATACAGCGTGCTTATGTTTGCCTATGAAGGAGTGTGGGCTGGCTCCGTTGATGAAACGTGGCTCCCATCCACATGCCTCCCGGTCTTATTCCTCTGGGTTTACACTGGATATGGGGTGTGTGGTTGGAGCTGTGGGTGGTGCAGCGCAAGCCACCCATGGTCCCTCTGTAGGCGCAGGCGTCCTGTGGCTTGCCACAGTGACAGGCAACTCCGAAACCGGATGCTGCCTACTATGTTCTTGTTTGAATTGAATGGTATGCACACTCTTGACATCTCTACCATGTCTTCTCATTTTAATTGTCTCTTCACAGGCAAGCCACTGTTCATTTGCATGGCCTCATGGGATTGCTGAGGTATGATTTCGAAATGCCGGCTTCATCCGGATATTGTTTGATTGTTGAAACTAAATCCACTAGTGTGGCTCATCTTTTTCCCCGATTAATGTTTATCTTTCTGGAAAATTTCCTATTTTCGCACTATCGTGTAATTGCTTAGGACCGACCGGGAAGTCATTGTTCTAGAAAGCGTTGTGAATAACTGGATAACGATGTTTCACTTTTGACACAAAAGCTTGCCTGAGCAAAGAATCGTTATGCGGTCGTCCAGGCGATTTGTTCACAGCGCGTCGGCATGGGTTTTGGTGCGGCCGCAGTTGTTTTGCCTGCGTTCAGCCACTTACGACTGCGTAATGCCGACGCATTAATACAGCGTACTTAGGCACTATATTTTTGCTTCCTTTTTACTCCCTATTGCAGACCTAGCAAGTAGATTTCTCGCCAACTCCACCTCGTGGCGCACCCTGCACCTGTAATCATGCTCTTTGGATAGTATCGCGTTGAATTCTCTCCTCGTAGGCTCTCATCTACGTGTCTTTTTATTTTGTTTCTTCGGTTTCACACTGACCTTGGGGAGAGGCTTGTCGCCGTTGCACTGGATGCCGCTCATCGTCAGTCTGTTCAACGCCTCGGTGACACAAATCCAGCAGCAAACATTGCCAGTTGCTAACATCTTACAAGGCCGAATGAAGGCTTCCTCAGCGATATCGCTTTATCTTCCCACGATCTCGGGTTGTCTGCCGTCGCACTGTGTCGCGAGTGTGTGCTTGCTTGATGCTCCTGTGTGTTATGTCTTGGACGCACCACGTTCCATTTTGGGTTCCCGATCGCCCATTTTATCCGCCTATTTTATCTTGGCGTAATAACTGCGTTGCTGTTTTGTTTTCACCCAGAGAACCAAAACATCACGCAAATGTTGAGCCAGTTGCTTACATTCGTTCGTTTCTCCAAATGATCCCACCTAATCTGTTCTCTTATATATCCTAACTCTCAGACTAGGATAACCAACTTGTCCGTGTTTGGGATCGATCCGGACGCGTTTGCTAAACACTTGCAGCTGACATTGGCTTGTTCTGCTGGTCGAGTTGAGGACCCACAGTTTCCTAATTCCGATATCATTCGAGCTCAGGGTTGGCATGATGCTGCTATCTCCAAGATGCTCGTAGGTAAGTTCGTTGTCCCCATATCAGCTTAGTTATAACTGTCAGTTGCTGCTTTTTCCCATTTTGTTTTGTTTCTTCGATACCTTGTGTTTGGAATCACTGTATGCTTGTGTAAGAATTATAGGCACCAGCGGTACGCCGTACTGACAATTCGCTGTTACGCCACCACCATCAGTCGCGTGAGGGTTAAGGAGATACTGCGAGAATCGTCCGGTCCCCTAAGCAGGCTCGAATCCTCCCACATCCGGGTTGCAAGGCAAGCGCCTTGTTCTTTCGGCCAATTTATTATTTATTCAACATCAAGATATCCGCTGTACTTGTGCCACCACAGTGCCAGCATATCCTCTTCATCCTCTATGGCAGAAGCAGTTCTGTGTATTAATGGGGGATATTTTCAGAAGTAGTTTTGAGTGGATACTCCATAAGCTATACAAGCGTCTTGCGTAGAATGTGTCTGGTTTCCGACTGAACTATGTTTTAACACTTCAGGTACTAGGAATTAAATCTAGTCGCAAGGAACAGTGGCAAAGTGCAGTTTTCGAGTCATCTTTTATGCCTAATTTGATCATTGTACGCACTTTGTATTTGGTTACTCAGAAATGGCGGATTAAATTAAATGTGTGAAAGCACACACGAGGCGAACTCGAATAGCGTTTATTGTGCAGCTCTTCTGGGTAAACTTTGTGGAGCAAGGTTATTAGCTGACGGATATGAGTAGTGGGGATGAGATTCCGTTCACCTTTATTATCATCTTCCGTGATGCCATGAGAGTTTTCAAACAGGCATCATGGATTGACGATAAAATAACATTGGGTGAGTTCAGTGTTATCAGTTACTTTTATTATCCATGTCGCTGATCCTAACTTCTTACGCTGTAGATTTTCTTCTATATGCGACCGCGAACTATCACTGTGACAGTGCCGTATGCCAATTTATCTACCTTGCTGGACTTCTGTCTCTGAAATGCTTAGTTTGCTTCGCAGATTTAATCGCTGAATGTGTGTGTTGGTGCAGAAGTGTGGTGGCTAATGAAAGATGTGTCCACATCCTTGCATACCTACGTAGTGTGCGATTTTATCCCTGTTAGTGAGGGTGATTTTAGTAGCAGCTGTAGTGCTCTGTGTTCATTTACTAGATGAAATATCCAGGTGAATGAGCACCTTCTTGAATCGCATCGAAAAGAAGCTACATATCTGGTTTCCTCCTAGTACTCCCTTTTTGTTGTTAATCTCACGTACGTCAATCCACAAATCATTCGGAGCGTATGTTGGACGTCGTCACTCGCACCACTTCGACCATCCCGTTGTATTTTCTGGTGCTGTTTAATACACTGAGTTGTTTGCCACTGTTGGTCCCTCTGCTGTTGTGGTGCTCCGCTCCATATCTCCTTTTAAACCACTCTCGACTTCTGTCTTTTGCGTTTATTTTCACATAGTTGCAGGTGACTTCGTTGTATACCCAACCCTCGCTCGGTTAGTGGTACTCGCGTGGCAGCGAAGCGTCTGGGTTGCGTGCCCCGGAGCAATGGATGCACCTTCTCTTGCGAGATTTTTAATGCAACTGTTCCGCAACCGCCAAGTTTTAAACCTTCCATACTCTGTTGAACAAGTGGAACCCCCTTCCCTCCGCTACTAACTTGAGGGCAAAATGTCCTGTCTGATATTCAACGCCAACTAGCCTGGTTGTAGGGTCGTGTAGTGGCATTTTCATCCAGCCCTCCGCCGGTGTTATCTGGGCAGTCTGACAGCTTCCTTGGTCTCATGCGGCTATTGCTAAGCACTGAAGGTACCGCGTACACTTTCAACTTCCTATGTTTTCTTTGGTTGTACGTATTCACAAAAGGGTGCTGTCGCTCTACATATAAATAAATAAATACATTCTGGTATACGGTATACGACCCCATAAGCGGGAGCCGTATGACCATACGATCGCTTATCAGTGGCCATTGCCGTCCGTCTGCTGCACCTAGCTAAATTATGCGTCCACCTTGCAAATTGGCAGTGGCACAGAATTGCGCGCTGCACCAACTCCGAATGATCGCTTTCCTGTTACTTCACCTTGTTCATTAGAAGCATCTTCGCTCGATGCGTTAGCAGATTTTCTTGTATCACTTCTACATTCTAGCTTCCGATGTGGCTCTGCTCACATGCCTCGTCTTAGGCTCAGTCATCTCTGTCCTGGTTTCAGAAATTAGACTCATTCAGCAATAGCAACTTTGTCGCTCCCATTGGCTTCGTTTAGATAAACGCAACCGTTTTTTCAATGCATGTAATTAATCTCTCAATTCACCTATCTGCTCACCATTCACCCTTTGCATCCATAGAAACGTATGGCATCAAAAAACAATTTATCAACGGATATGTTGAAGATCCAAAGAAGAAAAGAAAATGATTCTCTTCACCGATTTGTTTCATGGTTATTGCGCAGAGATGATCTTGTTGTACATAATGATGTCTTGCAGTATACTGACTTGTATGTATGATAACTGGCTTCTTTTGACCCTTCGCTCTGTACTCTTGAAACCTGGTCGCTTTTTCCACTATTTTGGTTTGCCGGAACACGGAGCAACAGGCTAATCTTTTTAATGGTCGCTCAATTCCCAATATCCGAACCAAAGCAGCAACCTTCGCAGCACAGTTCTGTGTCGATGCGTTTGCGCGCACACTCCTTTCAGAGCCTGATTCCCGTCATCATAGGTTTGTGTTCCGATCGATTAGAGCACAGTCACTCGATGACGGTGACCGATTTGCACACACTGGATGCAGGCATTTCGTCGTAAAAACCCAAAATATCGGACAGACTCATTTTGAGATGGGATAGGCTGCATTTTCTTTGCTTCACGTGCAGTTCATCATAAAACTAATTGAATGGTGTCAATAAGGATGTGATACGTGTAATTGATACCAAAACGCAGCAGTTACCGTCTCTATCTCCTATAACCTACTCTGTTCTCGATTTGCGAAAGTTGACACTGGCACTTAAATCAAGGTGTTAGGTTTCAGTCACCGGGTAGTAAAACCCTAAGAAAAGCGAAACACGCATGATTTATTTCATGTGTTGGCTAACTCGAACGCTCCGCGAATTTCGGCACATCGCATGGTCGATTGGGTGCCGAGCTTCTGAAATGGTTGACAACCTAGGACTACTGGATGCTAGGCTTCACGGAATACACCCCCTATTCCTGATCATTGACCTTTCAGTTCGGCCGATGGAGTTACTACCACCGGTTGAGACCGAGGCCTATCCATGCTGTAGTTAGGCAGTGTCATCTAGATTTAATGTAGCAACAAACACTTGGCTGCGTTGCAGCTTCATGTAGTAAGATAGGGATGAACGACTAATGTTGGTCTGGTCATGTATCTGTTACCTTTTGAAAACACTTGCTTATTCGGAATAATAACTTTTACTAACGTCTATTTTTTCCTGCAGAATGTTATCACCCAGCGAATACGTCGGCCTGTCCAGAATTTTCATAGCCTTTAGAGACCCAAATCCTAGGTTGACAATTTGATTTGTCACCTAAAGACATCGTGATGATAATAAGATCTGGCGAATATTCGACTAGTGGGCGCTTACTCAGCTCCGATGCTGATGCGTACTTTGATACGCATTTAGAAGACTTCGCCTCGCCAGTTAGCTGGTGTTGTCTGTGCTCTCACAACGACTTTGCGGACGTCTGCCAATACAGGCACACGCAGGAGCGTGATCGGAGTCCACGTTCGTGCTCCAAATCGAGGGACGGTTTTGGACGCAACATTTTCAGCGGGAACCGATCGTGATTTGAGCGATTTCCTTCAATGGCTTGTCCGAAGCTGGTGGGCTTCGAGTCACTCTTCTGCGGGTGCTGTGTCGAAATTTAGTGCTCGTGAGAAAGTGACGAACATTTTCACACAGATGTAACAACCGCTCACCGTTATCTTTACACGAGCCTACGCAATGTTCGGATAGATGAAACTCATCAGAGGATAATTTTCTAACTTGGGCGTTTAGATCGCCAGCAAGCACCACAGTATCTATACTTTTTCTGTAGCGAAGGGGATCGTTAATTTGGTGATAGGAATCATCTCTCACCGGATCAGAGCCACAGTTTATGTTGACGTGGGCCGCAGTGATAAACAAGCACCGTTTGTCGCCACGCAACGTCATAGCCTGGTACGAGCCAGCCCATCTGATGGCTTATATCCGGCTGTTGACTAGGATCCAATCGATCAGGGCGACTTAAGCCCGGGGACTCAAAACAATGCCAACCCCGGCATTCGAAGCTGCTTCCTCTCCAGTAAAACGCAATAAGAATGTGCCACCAGCGTCGCATGTGGGGGATCCCAAGATATGCACCGAGCTCGAATCTTGCAGGCAGGTTTCAGATAAGCAGCAAATATCGATCCATATGTTCTCTAGTGTTCGGGTAAGTGCTGCCTGTTGACCAGTCTGCAATAAAGTGCGCATGCTATGGCATGCCAGTTCTAGCGAGGATCGAGGAGTCCAAAGAGAAACGGACGAACTGATGTCCGCTTGCTTGAATATGGACTTGCTGGGTGGACTACTGCGACGCGCTGTGATTGCATATGAGTCGAGACTAGAAATCAAGTGACCATTGAAGCAATATGGGGGAGGGCTGAGAACAGGGGGATAAAAGTGAACATGGAGTGGCCGCTAAGGATGAAAAAGCGCAAGAAGGGGTATAAGAAGACGGAAAGGTCTGAGCAGTTGCATCCAAACCCATATCAACTTCGTTCAATGTAGCAGATCGAGCGCCGGCGCGAGCATCAACTGGTTGTTTGAGAGGAACGTCATAGTGTTGTATTGCATAGGCAGGATACTGTCAGTTTGCCCAGGCCTGGACAAGTGAACGATTAGGGTTCTCAACCAAAGCCTTGGGTTCAAAAACCTTACCACAATGCGGCGGGGTTATGACACTTGGCTGCTTAGATCCCGTTTTATGGAATAAGGAGCCACCATCGCTACAAACTTCGTTGAAACATGCAACCCCAGTAACACTTTTACATCCACAGTCCTCACTGTGATAGACACAATAACATCTGGTACCTTACAGGGCAGATATATGCACGAGTGAACCTCGCGATCTAAAACGCTCTATGCAACCTAACCGAAAATCAAGACCCAATGACTCACGCACAAAACAATTAGCCGCCGACACTCCAGTGGTCGGCTTAAAACTAAACACAGATTTAACGTCCATCAGCACACTTCTGCCATACGACATTCTAGTTTTTATTCTAGGGCACAAGCCCTTCCCAGCAAACTGTTAGAGCTCCGGCTACGTCATGCCACAATGTTGTGGGACCTCATCATGGTAACAGGGACATGGTTGACTGGAGGGATCACGGACACCGAAGTCGTACTATTCGGAATGTCCGTGCTGCACAATGATCGGCCGAATAGAGGAGGCTGTGTACTACTCCATTACCGCAGTAAGCTGCATCTTGATCTAATCGATGAACCGGATGTCTAGGCGCTTAGTTGCCATCTTCACTTAAGACACATGCTTAGTGAGCATCCTGCACCGCCCTCCATCGTCCACTTCAGAAATGGACAATCACCTAGCTTCCATTATGAAAACTATATCCGCACAGGCACACGGTTGCGTCCTCCTGGTTGGTGACTTCAATCTTTGCGCCTTAGAAACCTCAGGTTGTCTGAATGAGAAGTACAAAATGCAGTTGCAGGAACTAATCATTGATTACCAATATACAACCACGTTACCTCCCCCACAAGATTCAGGACAGGGAACAAACCAATTATCTTCGATCTCGGGTTCACAAACGAGGAGCTTGCGATCGAAACGGTATCGATAGCTAGTCCTTTGGGCCGCAGCCATCAGGTAACACACTTGTTCAACTGCATCTGTTATGCAGAGTGTTCCAGACAAAGCCGATGGTTCTCAGATTTTTACCGATTGCCCTGTGCTGACCACACTCATTACTTCAACCCACTGGTCCTTCCTAGCTGAACTATCATCCGCTGTTCATCCATCTAACAAGTTAGTAGCCAGCGCGCGATGAGAGTAGCCATCCGCGGAAATGTATGATCACAAGAGATACTGGCCTAAATACAAGGAGTCCTCAGATGCTGAACCATGAAAAGCTTACAATATCCAGTAAAATCACTGCGTGAGCCTGGTACGCGAGGATAGGCTAAAACATCAACAGGATTTAGCCGGTAATTTCTCCGTAAACTCCAAGCTCCTTTACAGACATGTCTGTACGCGAACGAGCGTGCTAATCGCGCATTTGTGCACTGGATTTTTTGCTGCCTCAGTGGCACTTTGTTGCACAGTACTGGACCTATACCTATTCGTCTTGATTTTACAAGCTCGACCTCGAGATACCATTTTCTCGAGCAAACTACAATGCTTCCTATAGTTACCTGGATTTGTAAACTCCGGGCAGTGTTCCACCTATGCTCACGTTCAAAAGTTGTACAATTCCAATCGCTGAACTCCCAGTTTGGCCTCACTCGATAGAGCAGTTCAACAGCGTTCGAGTCCAACAATGGCTTGTCGAACAACCTCCTCATGATGTCAGCTGGCTGGTTCAGGATTTTCCCGTTCCAGCAAATGGTTCGGCGGCAGTGTTCCAGGACGTGGTGGGTTTTCGCCATGCAACTTTTCCCCTTACAAAAAGCCACTTATGTCCGTTTAACAACACTGTGACTTGGCGGATGTGACTCGCCACTAAATAAAGTCACTGCCCCTTGCTTCATCCTGGCGAAGCATTCTCTTCCAGCAACTTTATGCTGTAATTCTGGGGAGCATGTGGCCCATGTTTGACAAACGAAAGGCGTATGATCTTAGCAAACAGTCACCGACTCCCTGTGGGCGCGATTCCCTGAATTCGCTCTGCTGCCCTGCGGGCAGGCTATTCAGCCAAAGGTTCGGGGTGGTGTCCCCTAACTCAACACCCTACTTCTGCTTGGGCAACTGGGTAGTATCTCGCCCTCTGACGAAACCATAGACTCCGATGTGTTGTGTTGTGTTTTCATTACTATTTCTGTACCTACTTTGGAGTCCCATGGTTTCTGATGGCTCGATGTCTATTCGTAGACTGTTGCATATATATATATATATATATATATATATATATATACTGTGTGGATCAGCTAAAGAGTAATCTTGATTCGCCCCGTAGCAAACACTACCCAGCTTCTAGGAGAATTCGCCTTGCGATTTATATAGTAAACCACCGATGGCTGGGCCACGTGTTGCGCATGCCAGCACACCGATTCCCACGACGTGCGTTGGCTGCGCGCCCGTGGTCTGGATGGAAGAGAAGAAGAGGAGGCCAAGCGATGACTCGGTCGAGGGGAATGAAAACCCTCACTTCGAAATTGGTGTAGGTCGATGCATCCCGACTGCCGGGCTGGGACCTGAAAGCGATGAGCACGTTTGGTTGGATACACTTGCTTATCTGGGGAAGTGCCGGCCCCAACGCGCTTGTGTTGTGAGTTTCTTTAGATTCCCAATCCAATGACGACCCCATACCAAATGTGTACTATGGTAGTCAACATTATGTTGCTTGTTTTTTGAACTTTTTGTAGTCTGTAATTTTCAGTATATTATCATTTTTGTAGTTCGGCACATTCACTGAAGTGTGTTTCTCCCCATCAGCTACCTGTATCTTCGTTCATGTCGACATTATACCCAGACTATGTGTTTGTTGACGACGTCGATGAAACTAGTAGAATTGCTAGGTATACATGGTTGTTCGACTTGGCTTAATAGTCTGTCGACATCTGACAAAGCAACTTTCGGAGGTGATTTCCTCATTTAACTATAGGCATAGACTCTTTAGTAAGACGGATTTTTTGGTTAGAACTGTCATTTAAAGTTGTCACTTCCCGATGCTTCACCAACAATGATCGCATAACGAAATGCATTGTGCTGTGGAATGGGTTTCACTTTGCAAAATGGTTGCTACCGTGCATGGAATATGCAGCAAGTTAAAGCGTTATTTGGAAACTTGCTAAGCTTGCATGATTTGGTTAGTGCAGTGTGAAAAGAACACGCATTTTATGCTTAGAGCCACGCGAAAACGACGGGTGTACAGAGCCCCATGGAGAAATACCCAAACGTTTGCTGATATATTGAGCTAGCTACATGCTGAAGAAAAGCTTCTTCAGTGGTTGTCTATATCACATTCGCAGCGTTGGCAGGAATCCAAACTGGAGCCACACCCCGTTCTTTCCGCGTACACTTTCATATTTTTCGTGAATGATTTTTGCTATTGCACATCCGCGAGCCACGAGTATTGGTTTCTAAGTCTTGCTTTCTCTCAGAGGCGTTCTCCCATTCCTTTCACGCTGTGATTCGCTAAGTTCCTCCCTTCTGCACCATATCAGATCAGTTACACCAGCAAACAACAAAAAATACGCCGTGACGTTTTGTCTTCACATCGTAACATACTTCTGTTAAGCTGTGTAAACTTTCCCACGAGACACCGATGTTTGCAGAATATTATTTGCTACTGCACGTACGTGTTTGTCGTCATTCCAAGCTATATTTTACTGGGAACAATTAACTAATATCGTAATATTTACGTTAAGCATTCCAACCTGCTATGGCGACCAGCCAAAATCACCCCCAAGGTATTCTTTAATGAGTAATGCACCTATGCATGAGCCTGGCCATGGCAAACACTTTTCGTCGGTCCCTTGAGTGGTCGCCTTACGTAGGTTTGACTGAGTTACCTGGTCCTTTGGTAATGATTTACCTGCACGGTCATTTTTGTAAAAGGCGTCATTCGATCGAATTTACCGGGCTCTTATATTTGGCATAATTCCCAGGTTGCTGTTGCCGTCACGGATTATGCCTGGAGTGATGAATTCGCTTATTTATGGCGATTTAAACCCCACCGACCGTAGGGTTTGAGAAATTACGTGAGACGGTGAACATCAGTTAAATTATCAATCAAAGTCGCCATAAGGTCAGATTTCGGCGTCGGTGATTATTCGAACATCTGGGTATTGCGGAATCTTTCATAATTATCCTACCGGATTGAGCCGTGACTTTTAACTCTGCACAATGATCGCACATTCTTAATGAGTTGATTATTTAAGTTCCCCTTCACAGATTCGTAAACATTGCGGAACGTTCCAATTCGGCCCGGTATTCGCCTAATCGTTGTATGATGAAGAGCGTGATTGTCTGGATCAGAAATAAAACTAATGTGGCTAAGATGATGATCGTCTTCGAGCACGGCACACATCAGGTAGGACTAGTAAATAAGTAATGCAACGGGTTCAACCGTTGGTGTTCGGTAATAGGCTCTCTGGGATCGTAAACTTGGATCAGTGTTGACCAGGTTACATTACTCACATACCTGTCGACAGATGGCCTCAAACTGCATGGCTCGTTAAGTTTAAACTTGGTTGGGCGACACCCCAGTATGAAGAACCGTTGGCATGTCATAAAGACATGAAGGAAGTACTCGGCGGGTCTGGTTCGAGAAAGCCCTACGACACATCAAGTTGCATAAACATCAGTTAAACCGATTGTTAGCTGCTATAACCTTCAGCTGCTTTATGTGGAGAGTGCAGTATCTGCTGGTGGAAACGGTGCTATATTCGCTGACAAAACGTGTTATATTTACCACAAACAAAAGTAGCCAAATCTCATAAGAGAACTCAGTTGGTGCGTCGCTCTTCGTTGTCAAGCACCTGCGACGTTGTGCTTTTGGGTACTGATGGTGTCGCAAAAGCCGCGATCCATGGAGAAGCGTCTCGTTCAGCAGCAGCAACTCAATAAACCTCACAGCTTGTCGGACCAGTAGAACACCTAGATATGTATTTAGGTGCTTCCTTTGATTCAGGTAAACGAACTACGAAGAAGTCTGTGTCTTGTAAGTTTGAAGAGGATTTATAGATAACAACTGTATGATTCGTTTGGACAAGGTGTGCGACTATTATGCGGATGCACTTCTTGTTTAGTCCTCTGCAAAGCCATGCTGGGTGACAGTCGCAGAAGCGTTCAGATAAATGCCTTGTGTTGCGGCCTATTTAACTTGTCCCAAAGGATCAGTTGATTTGGTGCACAGAGAAAATGATGACATCCACGGACAATTTGTCCTCTAGCAACAGACGTGAAAGTGAAGCGAGTGGGCAAATGCGTATAGCCATGAGTGGTATTGATAACCGCTCGTAACCATTTGCTAATATGCTGACAAGGATATGTGTATGGTTTTTTTCCTACTGTGGGTGTTTTGACCGCCACAGTCAGTTTGCATACTCGTGTCAATGAATGCCTCAGGATGGCCGTTGGTAGGGAACACTCCCCTTAATGTGGTGCGACCTGATTCAATCTTAGCATAGGAACATTTGCGCCGATTTTCCGACGAAAAACGCTATCAAGGTGCGTATATTGACCCGTCCAGATCGATTCTCTGTGAATTCTACACGACAACACGACATCTGGTCGATGTGACGGCTGAACATCCAAAGCTAGATGCTCAGCTGGCTACGGTCACATTCCAAAGTGCATGTTCCTGTGTGGCCGATTGAATTCCAGCAACAATTCAAACTGGTCCACGGAACTGTCGGTTATACACATCATGTCACCACTGTAGTGTTCAAAGTGTGAGCCGTTCACTCAGTGTACTCCATCAGTTCGCTTGAAGCACATAGTGCAGTTCCATAGAGCATTCAGTTTCCAGTCGAATACATCACGTATAAACTCAGTCAGACAGCCATCACGAGACCGAAAAAGCAGTGTACGGTTTTCATCCCATCGGGAATCGTCAGTACTGCGCATTCCATGTTACTGCCGTGCAGTAACCGGTTGCGGGTTCTTCCCTATAAGGGTCAGATAGAATGCGCACTGCTGATGATTCCCGAAAGGATGAAACGGCCGTACAGTGCAATTCTGGAGGTGTGATGGCAGTCTGAGTCTAGATGTGATGAAGTGCACCTTACCCTACTACTCCTCTGTAATCAGGACGCATACCAAACTGTTTAGAATGCTGAGTCAAGTGGCGATGAAGGTTCGTCGCTTGATGAGGGGGCTACCCTGTCCTCTGCACGGTAGTAACGCGCAAAGCTGTGAATAGCGAGCAGCGCTATATTACATCTAGTAATTAAATCACGACGGTCGCTGACGTCCCCTGTAGATCAGTGGTCTCAAGCACGGCTTGAAACAGTCGATTTGCGGGTCTGACCTTACAAGCGTCAGATGGAATGCGCACTGCTAACGATGTCAGAAAGGATGAAACGCGCGTACAGTGCTTTTCCGGACGTGAGACGGCTGTTTGAGTGAGTCTAGAGGCGACGAATTTCCACCTATAACATTCAACTCATTTGTAATCAGTACGCAGACCGAACTGCTTATAATGCCATAAGTTAATTGGCGGCTTAAATTTGGTAAGTTTGTCGCTTCTTGAGGGGCTATCCTGTCTTCTGCACTGCAGTAAGGTGGGAGTCAGTGGATAGTGAGCTTCGTTATATCACATGTAATATTGTATTCACGATGGTCGTTACCGTCCCCCGTAGCTCAGTGGTCTCAACCACGGACTGGCAAAAGTCGAGTTGCGGGTTCGAGCCCTATCAGAGTCCGATGGAATGCGCACATCTGACGATTCACGAAAAGATGAAACGCGCGTACATGCTTTTCCGGGCGTGTGATGGCTGTCTGAGTGAGAGCAGATATGAGGAACTTCTGCTTATACCATTCAGTTTTGAACAATCTCTTCCCAACAACAATTTCTTCGCACTTGACGTTCCAGCCTGCTTAGTTTCCCCATCCTTGCTTATAGCAATACTTCTTATTGTAGCAACCCCAGCCATGGTAGCTGGATTCACCGCATCTAAGTGCTCCGACAATGGCTATCAAACGACAACTAATTCTAATCCCATCCTAGAGGATCAACTTACGGGATTTGTTTGGCATCTAATCAGTGACCAAGTTGGTGAGAGTAGACCTCAAAGCATTCTAAAGCACCAGTTTGTACAGAACAATGGTACAGAGAAGTAGGCACACCCAGTACCACATTAAAGTGTAGGACAGGTTTCGACGAGAACGACCGGAACAATCTTGTTGGCTTATTTCCATGGTGGAAGAACGCAGTGTCCCATGGGATATCAGCAGAATTCCAAACACTCGAAATGTGAAGAAACAAAGAAGTAGACTTAGAAAATCAGCTCCTATTGTCAATTTACACAACGATTTCTGATAGTCTTTATACAAAAGATCATAGCAACATGCAGGAATGACATTGTTTCCCTAATGTTTAAAAAAGAGAAGAATGATAACAGGGAAAGAAACCTATATGCCGGTCGACTTAGATGGGGATTGTGATTCCTGTCTAGTGGAACGTAACCGCTGTGGACTTAGACGCCGGCGTCGGAATGCGTTTGTGATGCGCTCCAACACAGTGGGTTGTGGTTGTCCATCGATACGACGTTGCAAACGTGCAAGATAATTGGATTCGGTTTGCTGATCGCCGAAACGTAGCCAGTAAACGTCAGCGTGAGTTTTGCGGAACTAGAATCAGGAAATGAGTGGAGTAGAGAAAACAAGTGACAACTCACATGCCACATTTTTCTATGGATTTGATTCACAGGCTATAGGCGGGGTATTGCTGCTGTTAAAGATTGTGATTAGTAATATTCGTAAATAAATGTTGCAAGTAGCTGTCTGATGTTAGCAGGTGGTAACCAGTGAGGAAGCCATAACCGGAACAAAGCGAGTTTATACGAATACGCTAGCCTGTTGGCCTTCATGTTTAATTGAAGTATACAATCTTAGACATTCTCATGGTGTGCAAGGGTATATGCTATTTGCGATGTGAAAACAGTTGCACAACACCATACAATCCGTTGCTGCATCCGGAAAGCATGCTTCTGTCGTGAGGAGTATACGGTCGCACTGAGTGGGATGGTTCCGTTATGGACAGGACAGCGTTGCATAATGTCGATGGGCCAAGTAACAAAGGAGAAGCGTCATCGGATGCCGGCTAATTATCGCGACGATGCCCCATAGGGACAACAAGACGAAATACTGTAGAAAACCACGCCTGCTTCTACCCAGAGTTACACAGTATGGCGCATCACTTGTAAAACAAACGCGTGAAGGCAGCTCATAATCAAGTCCTGCAAAAGGCAACCTACGCGCATGATAAGTTGGTAAAAGCAGGGTAGAAAACAAACTCTGTGACAAGAAATCTGATCAACAAGCATTAGACGGAATCGATAGAAACGGGCGATTTGGTCCGTTTCGTAGAATGGAGTTTGCGATAAAGCAGTGAACTTAAACAGTTTCTGTCCTATAAATTAGAAACCAACATTGGTCCGCTTTGCCTTCGCAAGAGCTCGCAAAAGATACCCTTGACAGTGAACTAAAACGCGTCATCAACACAACTAGAAAATGGATACCCCGCGAAATGCTTAGCTCGGGATGCGAGCGAAGAAAATAGTAAGAAGCATTTGATAAGTGTCCCCAAGAAAAAGTGTTCATTACACTGCCGTTAAAAGGCGATCAAAACGATAAAAGATTCCGGCACTGTCTCCGCCAGGCAGTTGGGAAATGTTATTACGCGGCTGAACTGGTGTTATTGCATCAAGTCAAGAAGTTGCTCTGCAAATCCAACCTGGACAAACTACACCCTCATGTTACCAGCGCTTCTTTTTATCCATTCCACTGTATTTGTGGTGGCAAGTAGGTTAGCTGAACTGCGAGGGGGATATCCACTAGGATTTCAGAGCACATTCTACGAAACATGGTCGCTAAAGATCCCAAACTTCCGGCTAGCTCTAGTGTTCATCTCATCCCGGATTGCACTGCGTACCATCGTCCTTGTGATCAACCTGCGGACTGAACTTACGGTCAACCTCGCTTTACCTAGGTGAGGTTACTGATCGTTTTCCTTCGAACTGAATGACCTAGTACATTTCCTCCGTTTTGTAGGAAACGCAATAAATTCATGAATGTGTGTAAACAGCTGAAGAGAACACTCAAAATACCTGGACTCAGCGTAGCCTGCTTTTTCTTCTTGCTATTGTGGGACAGTAAAGACTTTTGGGTCGTACGTTTATCTAACTTTAGATGATACAATAAAAAGTCAAAGTCAATAATAATCTGAGAACCAACAAACACTGACTACCATTCGGCCTTAGGGACTCCTTTCATGACTAAGTCCTTGTGGTTAGCATCAACACTCGCACGAATCGGAACTTCACCAACATCAGCCACAACCTGTGAATGAGTGGGCGTTTTGCCGTGAGAAGTGGCTGTAAGCCATCATCACCATTATACACATTGGCTAGAGGTGTAAAACACCTCAGCTACTGTGCGGCAAAACATAAAAGAAAAAAGAGTAAAACGCAACAGATGTAAGCCAGCTGAGCTACCGGTAACGGATGGGCATCGTTCCCGTAAGCTACCAGCCGGCTACTATGCAGCAGATAAAGAAATAATTTACTAGGCAAAATTATATGAGGTTAAGTAGTGAGATCGTGTTTGAAGTGGGAGGTTAAGAGGGATGGGGTGGGACAAAGAAACTCACAGCACGAATGCCAGTGAGGTCGGCTCCTAGCCATATCAGCAAGTGTATCCAGCCAAACGTGTTCATCGTCTTTCGGACACCAACCAGGGAGCCGAGACGCTCTAAAAGAGGCCAGCTCAGAAGTGAGCGCCTTCATTCCTCTCGACCAAGTCATCACTTGGCCACCCGTCCTCTTCTTTTATCCACATTCCCGGCGCGCAAACAACACACGTCGCGGGAGTCTGCGGGCTGCCATGCGTAACACCTGGCTAGCCAACGGGGCTTGGTGCGTGAACTAACGGTGCGGAGAAGTTCATATTCTTTTCGCGTGGCGTAAAAAAGGCGTCGAACACGCTCGCTGCTCACTCGGTGTTCCCACTAGATGTAAGCCAAACTGCGAAGGCACCGGTGGTCGAACGTAACTAGCCTCTTTAGGCCCGTTGATCTAAGGGGTCGGGTTTCACAACCGTACAGCAGTGTTGAACGTACCGATGCATCGTACACACCACCCATCACGGCGAGAGTGATGTCGCGCCGTCGCCATAAGTGGCGAAGGTTAGCAAAAGCGCCTCGAGCTTTTGCTATACGGTTCGTGATCTCATTTTCAATCCCAGGAACGCTGATAAAACTTCCAAGGTAGTTGAATTTTTGAACGACTTCTAGCTGATTCCTACCAAGGGTGAGCGCAGTAGGCGGTTCAGGCCAATCTTAGAGGAACGCTTGCATTTCGAGGGCGCAAAGCAAGGCCCGAAGTGACGGACAGCCGGTGCTAATCTATCCGGTGCAATTTGGCACGTTTGTGAGCTGTCACAGATTAGGGCAATATCGTCAGCATAATCCAAGTCAAGAGGTTGATCTCCTGGGAGTAGCTCCACACCTTCCAAGTCGTGTCCTGTGAATGTGAATTCGACTTCGTCAATAGCGAAGCTGAAAAGGAAAGGTGACAGCGGGTACCCTTGTCTCACACCGCTGGAGATATTGAAGGGCGACGACACTTGGTCGTAAACCTTCACTCTGCCCCAGCTACGTGTGTATAATGCTCGGAGAACATTTACCTATATCTCAGGTACACCTTTACTGGTTAGACAGTCGCAAAGGGTACCGCGATCTACCGAATGAAGGCACTTTTGTTATCGAGGAACCAGAAAACGGTGAGCCGCCGATATATGTGACGGTGCTGAAACAACTGACGAAAAGTGAAGATGTGGTCAATATGTAGCCACAACGTCGACGAAACCTGGCTTACTCTTCACGAATCTGCAAGTCAGTCTGTGAAGGATGACAGGAGTAATTTGGAGGCGATCGGGATCAGATTCATTCCTCTATGGTTGCCGCATTCCGACCGTGAGCCGCCCTTGAAAATTGGGACTATGACGGAGCGGCTCCAGTTGGTTGGGACAGTTTCCTGCTCCCCCAGTTTCACTAGTAACTTGTGTAAAGCTTCCACAAAGCAGGTCCCCCGAATTTGAAGATGGCTGGACGAAGATCATCTGGTCCGCGGTTTCAGTTAACTTCAACAGTCCGATCTCACGTTCGAGTTCTGAGTGAGATGGTGGATCCAAAGGGACAGCCCAAAGAGCAAGGCGATCAGTGGCCGGCGAGAAATCTGAAAATTCCGACCGATTAAACTACCTTATACAGTACTCAGCCCAACGCTCCAAGCGTCTTGATAAGTTGTGGATAGGCTGTCCACACTCGTCACATATAGCCTCACTAACACCAGGTATCCTGCTGCGTTTTTCCCGTATCAACCAAAATAAGTTATGATGGTTACAAAGGGCAGCGGTCATTTCCATCTCTGAAGCACGATGAGACCACCAGGATTCGCGGTCTCTTACCAGTCTAGCAGTGAGCTTTCTGCGAGTTTCATTGTGCTCGCTTCCAGCCGGAATATGCCCGCGAGCATCGATAAGTTCCAGAGACTGCAAAAGACCCAATGACCATGTTGGCGATCAGGTTTACCATATTAGGATTTTCCTGCTGCTAGTAAGGTCTGAGGAATATGAGACAAGTGAGCATCAATTGCATCCAGTGAGCGCGAACTCAACCCGTATGTCAGCGTATACCGATACGCATGCAGAACAGCTGGCTTCGCCAGTTGACTGGTGTCAATGCACTCACAGCGTCGTCGTGGGCGTCCGCCCAAACGCATCCGCAGGTCAGCACATACAAGTGCATGGTCGATGTCCACACATGTGCTCCAAATCGGGCGAGAGTATTAGACGCAGCCCCTTCATCGGTAGCTTATCGCAATGTTATCAATTTGCGTCCATAGCTGGTTCGAGGCTGGTGGGCGCCAAGTCATCCTCCGGCGGGTGCTGTATCGGAAATTAGTGCTCGCAAGAAATAAGCGAGCATCTTCACACAAATTGAGTAACCGCTTACCGTTATCATTACGGGAGCCTACACCGTGCTGACCGCCCAGATGCATTTCATCAGTGGACAATTTTTCAACATGAGCCTTTATACCCCCAGCCAGAGCTACAGTGTCCAAGCTTCTTCTATGGCAAAGGAGCTCGTTCAGTTGGCGGTAGAAGTCATCTTTTACCGAAGTATCGCTGGAGTTTGTGGGTGCATACACCGCGATGACAAATAGATAACTGTTCGTCCCGCGCGACTTTGAAGCATCGAACAAGCCAGCCAATCGGACCACAGACATCCGGCTACTGATTGGGATCCAATCAACCAAAGCAGCTTCAGCCCGGAGACCTAGGGAATACCAACACCAGCTTGGCCGGTGCTCGAAGCTGCATCGTTACCGGACAGGCGCAATGAGAAAGTGTTGTTGGTTTCACTTGAAGGGGATCGCAAAGTGAGCACTGAGCTCGAGTCTTGCAGGCGGGTCTCCGATAAGCAGCATATATCGATCGAGAGGGTCTCTAAAGTTCGGGCAAGTGCTGTCCGTTGACCAATCTGTAGCAATGTGCGTACATGCCAATCTGAAGGATGATCGAGGGCTCTAAATGAAAGCCGATGAACTGGTATGGACCGCTTGGTTGGACATGGGCTTGTCGACAGGGCAGGAATGACGAGCCGCGTTCACAAGTGAGTTGAAACTAAAAAGTAAAAGCCTATCAAAGCTAGGTGGGGGACGGCCGATAATTGGGAGGTTGAAAACAGGGGGGATAGAACTGAAGCTGGAACGGGACGGTAAGGGTGAAAAAGCGTAAGAGTGGGAATAAGAAGACGGGGATGCTTGAGCAGTAGCATCCAAACCCCTATCTACCCTGCTCGATGCAGCAGATAGGGCACCGTTGATTATCCTCTGCGGTGGCCAGAGCATCAGCAATTTGTTTGAGATAAGATTCATGGTATTGCGTGGGCAGAATACTGTCAGGTTGCCTAGGCCTAGACAGGAGGACGATTAGTGTTCTCAACCAAAGCCTTTGGTTCAAAAACCTGACTGCAAGGCAGCGGGTTTGGCGTTGGGCTACAAGGAGTCCGTTTTAAGGAATAAGAAGCCATCCTCACTCAAACCACCAATCTTAAGGGCAAGGAGACTGAGTTTGTCTGGCCTCTAACCATTGACTGATTTGGTATGAGTGGTTCTGAAGGAGCAAAAAAGCACCGCCCAGCATAGCTCAATGAATCACTTAAGCACGCAAACCATCACACAACGGTAAGGTCCAGCCTCATTGCGATGAGGCAGTAAGTCAAATAACCACGATATGGAGTAATTGGCATTTTCTGTCATAATTAGACCCAAGTACCGATAAAAATTATGGCCCAGAGATTGTACACTTCTTGTAGGGGAATATACAAGTGTGTTTAGTCAATTATAACTGCCACAATTTCGTTTACCGCCGTCGACAAGCATCAACTATGCATGGCGTACCGAGACTGCTCGAACAAGACGAAAGACGTCCAACGTATGGAGAGCATGCACAAGACAGACACTCACATCAAGAATGCATTTCATCTTCTTCCTCGGATCCATCTGGCGATCGTTAAGGATTTGATTCAGCAATTTTATAAGGTGTGCTGTGTTACTCAACGAAGCCAAACGTTGTGGATCAATTCCCACCTGTAGGAGAAAAAACAATGTGCAAGGGGAAATGAAGAAGGAATCCGCCTGGATGACAAAGTTTGAGAGCAACCTAGCGGCACAGAAGTTCAAAATTGAAGATGAGAAAGATGGTGAACGTCAACGAAAAAAACGCGCATTCAAGAAGTTACTCCCGGTCAAAGATAACGTCACTACGCTGAATGAGTAGGTTCAAAACAAATGATATGGTATTCTTGCGAGAGCAACACTGCTGGAACAGTGAGACGAACCTGGGAATCGGTGCTCCCCGAGGTGCTCGAATTGGTGCGCCAGCGTCCGTTGAATGATGCAACGTTGGATTGCCAAACAGGCTGTGCAATCGGTTCACCGTCCACCTCGCCACAGGATGTACATGCAACGTAAGAGACGTGATGGGGACGGAAGCAGTCAGTGCTGTAACTTCGAGTTGGTTGGTACAAGGAATGAGAGTGACCCATCATCATACATGTCTTCATTGGAGTCGAAGCGAGCCAGTCTGCAGTACCAGAACCCACCGTGGTAGAACTACTGGCGAAACAGGTGGGGAAGCGTCGGTAACCGTTCTGTCGTTCGGTAGCCGAAGCAATGGATGGCACACAGATGGGGAGCGTGCAAGCAGAAGGAACACCGATATGATTTAAGGAGGACAGACTGAAGGAATGAAAATGGTTCGCAGGAAATAGGGCGGTTTGAGGTCTAGAAGGCGGGTTGGTTGGCTTGGCGAATCCAGTAGGAGGCTGCGTGCAGGTAAAACCACCAGAGGACACTTCAGTAAGTAAGTGGTACACATAAGCAAAGAATAGCTCATTCATATGCTACACTGGCTCTTCTAAGCTGTGAGCAATAGAAAGGAGAAAGTGTAAGTGATCATTTCACAAAAGGGAACCTCTGGAAATGTATCTATTTATTTACTGGTGGGTATTGGCGAGTTGGGTGTAATTTTTTGATGTGGTTCGTCGCAGTCTTCTCCCAGTCACACAGGTTCCCACACGTCTGGGAAAACGCCAGACAGCTGATCCGACCTACTGGGCCGCATCAGTGGTGCGAGTTCCTCGGTCCCCTGCAGGGATTCCAACCCCATGACTTCCGGATGTCAGCAGCTTGTGCCACTAAGCCATGAATGACGGTGGCGGACCGGCATGAGTGATAGCTGACTACGATATAGCAAACCTCATGTCACCCTGCGGATTGCTAGGTATGTGGGATTCACCACCACACTCTCATAGATGCCATCTGCGCATAGATTAAACCAAGTGGGTGAAAATTCCATAAGAATACATCCGATCCATCAAGCCACTAGCAATTTACTCCCATGTTCTTCAGTCGAATGGACATTATTTTACGTCGATCGCACCCAGCCACTGGGTTTTTTCTTAAATCCCACGCTCAATACTCCACCATTGCTGACCACTTAAACATTATAGTCTCAGTGGAATGGAGGGTCGCTTAAATGATATATTACGGGAACACGTGGATTATGTCTTTGATGAAGGTTACATTCAAACTGGTGCTCATCAATATTCGTTCTCTAGTACGAAGAATACACTTAATCCGCTGCTTCGTCGCCCTTTATCAACTCGTTATACTTCTTATTACCGAATCACAGTGTACGAGTGAGAGTTTGGACCATCTTATTGCTATCCAATGTTAGTATTTCTTTTGAAAGGACCGATATCATGATAGGGGACGTGGTTGTATCATTTACTGTATGAACAACTTATGTGCTCTACAATGCAGTGCCGAGTAATTCGCATCCCTCCATGAGTCCATTTGGATAAGAGTATCCTTGAAGAACAATAGAATGTTTATTTACCGCCGAACTCTTATGCCCTTGAAAGCGGATTGCTTCAGAATACCGATGAAGCATGCCCATGCATTTCCTATTCGCTTTAAGGTAGTTGGAGGATAATTCAACTTAGCAAACATTGCATGGACCGAATGCAAAGATACAGGAAAGCAAGCTAAAATCTTGAATTACCAGCTTGATGGTGGCTGGACACAGCATATAACATCTCCCACACGGTTGTATAAGGCACTAGACCACATATTCACTGTTGGATCAAGAGTTGCTGTTATCGACGTACTGGACTATCTACAAGTAGTGATCATAATGTAGTTAGTTGCAAAATGTATATTGCACCAGAGTGTTTCCCATAAACACTCAAAGCTCAGTAGGTCTGAATTGACCACAACAAGAACGTAGAGATATACAGCTAGGCCAAATGAGAAAAAGTGTACGTCCACAAGCTTCTACATGCAACACCGACACTGTTGTCGGGATAAGTCGCAGACAGCCGGCCCAATAGTTACCCACAATGCCTCTGAATACGTTTCCAAATCACGCGACCTCAAGCTGGCAAAGCCCTTATGTGTGCGACACCGAAATATCAAACAAAATGGTGGTAGGACACACGGATTTACAGGTAAGAGGGTGCAAGCCATATGTACCTCAAGTAAAAATTCACTCACCACCACCCCTTGTAGTACTCAAGTGGCAACAACACAATCCGAAGAAAAACGATCTTGCAGACTTCCGCATCCCCCACCCCTGTATACTACAGATATAAGTCCTTTTTTAGACTATCGCATACCACCACATCCTCCCCCACCAATCTAGCCCCTATCACGTGCGATTATGAATGAGAGATTAATCAAACTACTGAAGTATGTACTTCATTCAAGCCAGTACGATCTGAAGCTCAGTGTGCCTCAGCTACCTCACAACACACAATTCTCAGATACAATGACGATGAAACAAACATTACCCATCACTTTCCTTCCATGTTAACAATGTCTTTCAATGCTGTCGTCATTAACATTCGTTCCCTTTTACCTAAATTAGATATACTTTCAACACTTATGTTTATGAGATCCCCCGATATTGCTTCTATCACTGAAACCTGGTGCACATCAGAAATCAGTGTTTCGCAGCGTAACATCCTAGGCTATAAGCTTTTCCGCAAGGATCGCTCACACAAACGTGGTGGTGGCTGTGCCATGTATCTTCGAAATAACCTGACTGCTATTTCCGCAGGTCCACCTGTGTTCATTGGCTTAGAAGATACACTATGGCTAGTGATCCCATCTATTGATCTTCTAGTGGGTTGTATCTATCGGCCGCCCCGAACTACTCAATGTATAACCCAAAAGCTAATCGATATGGTTGGTGCTGCTTCCAGCACCACATACAAATTCAAAATTATGTGTGAAGATTTCAAGCTATCACATGTTAACTAGATGCTGCCTACACTCAGAAACACTGCGGAGATTAAGGAAGTCATCTCATGTATTCACCTCAATGGATGGACCCAGCATGTTAGAAAGCCAACCAGAAGTGCCACTACCTTAGACCTTGTATTCACGATGGGAATCGCTTACGCTTATACATTCATTGATAATCCACTACTTGGCTGTGATCACAACACGGTGCTTTGTGATATGACTATTGGTTTCCCTAAACGACCGAGTAAAATGCTAAAACCCATTCGCAACCTCCATCGTGTGGACTGGAACTTATCAGTACCATGAATTGAAATACGTCATTCCTAACTCACAACCCTACTGTGGCTACAAATGAGTTTACGAACAATATTGCCCTTGATGTGGATCTACTGGCACATACTGTATTGAGAAATACCCATGAACATAGTGGTGAACTCAAGCTTCTGTACAAAGCCAAAATCAAAAACTAAAGAAACTCAAATTGCTATATCGCAGAGCAACAGCTTCGTAACATTGCTACAAATACACGAGAATTTACTACATTTACAACGTCAAACCCAAACGGCCAAAAGCAAAGAAGAAAGTCGGGTACTTAGAAGTCCTGAGAAAGTACGTACATTGCTGCATCTACTCAAAAGAAGGAACCTAAACCAATCAGGAAATTGAAATCTTAGCTCAAGACGACGGTTCAAGAACGCGCGACATCTCCTGTATATGCGAGGCCTTGAACTCTAGTTTTGGCTCCTCTTTTGTCCCCAACATTCAGCCACCTCATCCTCCACTTTCAAAAAGAACGACCGAACTATCTTGCAATATCCCTGTGACGTTAAGAGAGGTGCAAAGTGCCATCGCAGCCATAAAACCCTCAACTCGTCCAGGTTCAGATGGCATCTCCCCAACTGTTATAAAACTCGGAGGAAAAAATCTCGCTCTATTGTTATTAAACATCTTCACACTCTCACTCACTACCGGCTGCTTTCCAACTCAATGGAAGCAATCCATTATAATGCCTAAGCACAAGGGTGGCCGAGATACAGAGTGTCAAGTTACCGTCCAATAAACCACACCTCTGCTGCTTCCAAAGCCCTAGAGCGAATAGACAAGAAGAACATTGTTCAATATCTTACAAGACTGGATCTGATCAACCCCTCACCGCATGGCTTTCTCTCAAAACGCTCCTGCGTTACATGCCAGCTACAATTTCTCGATCACGTCACGACTATGTTTGACAGAGGAATTGCAATTATTATAATTCTGTTGAACATGCAAAAGGCGTTCGACCGCGTGCCGCACAAGTCACTGCTGTCTGCTCTAGAGTCATATGGAATTCGAAATCTTCTGCTTAACTGGTTCGACTCATACCTAAACAGTTGAAGTCAAGTATTTAAAATCGGTCAGCAATATTTTACACCGAAACAAATAACCAACGGCGTCTTCCAGAGAAGTGTGCTCGGACCACTACTTTTCTTAACTTACGTAAACAACATACGCGACCCGATTAAACATGGACACCCATTTTTGTTTTCAGATGACATCAAACTGGTCTATTTATTTCGTCTAGACCAACTACAAATGTGCCTGGAAAACATATGTGAAGACCTATCCGCACTAAATATAGCTAGTGAACGTTTCTTAATGAAGTTCTCCGCAGTGAAATCCCAAGTACTTGGGTACAGATGCCGCATCCCAGAAGGCTCCATCATACTTGCTGGAAACGTGATCCCAACGTCTGATTCAGTTCGGGACTTAGGAATTAGGTACTCTAACTCTTTCAATTTCTCCGAACATGTTCTTTATCAGGTTGCGAAAGCAAGGCAGTTATGCGAATATATCACCAGAACTTCCTCCCTACTAGAAGCACCACTTGAGTCATTCAAGGCAAAAGTACGACCGACTCTGGCATACTGTACTATCGTTCACAGCCAATTGAGAAAAAAAAGAAAGAACGGCTCTGGAAAACGTCCAACGATCTTTTACCAAGCTGGTCATGGAGCGCTGATCAAACCTGACTTATTCTGATCGCTATGGAAAACTCTAACTGGATCCTTTTTGGCTGAGACGCTTAAAGAACAACCTCGTTCTCTTCTACAATATTATAAACCAACGAATTTAAGCAGACAGCACCGCATCTGAACTATGGAAGACTGCAGTCTACCCCGCACGTAATGGCGGCTACTTGATACGCACAAAGCTTTCAAGTCATAAAACGTGATCGAATTTCTTCATAGTCATACACTGATTTGTGGAACAAAACTACTCCTACAGATATGCATGAGTACAAGCTATGTCACATTTCGGAATTCCCTCCAGACGTTCCTCACTATATCAAATGTGCTGAAGATCTTTGACTCACATCAAACTCTAGAAACATTGACAGAAGCCGGTGTAAAAAACATATGAGTAGATATTTGCTTACAACTAGCTTACCCACTACATGTCATTACCTACAATACCAAGTCCTGTGTCTGTGTAGCCTAGTATCCCCTCCCTTTTATTATCTACTCCTGAGACCCACAAACTAGAAAATGATGATACAAATATCGGTAAATTTTCCATATTAAGTGCTCTGATCTAGGACCAGAGGAAAAAAATTAGGATCCAAAATTCTATTATTAAACTTTTCTTTATTATTATGATTTACGCCGCATAAACCATGAAACCTATTCACTACACAAATGATCGCTCCCGCTTATGGGGGCGTGTACCGTTTGTTGGTAAATATACAAATCTATTTATGTAAAGTCCCGTTGAGACACGTGTGTAATTTTGGTAGAATAAACTGGAGAAACTTTGCTATCCTTGTGCATACTTATGAGTGGACCAATCACTTCCAGTCTTCAAACCCAAAGGTGTCATTTCAAGCATATTAAGCAAATATAAATCGATGCATCGAAACACTATAGTCAGCTCTAGCTCCCACTGGAAATAAGTCGCAGCTGCAGGAAAAACAGCACAGCACTAATGACTTTAAAGTACTATTCAGGTTACACAGGCTGTCATTAAAATACAAAAAACTGAGAATCCTTCGTCTCAAGAAGAGACTGAAATGATGAAAAGCGCTAATCTAATATTCGAAATAGCAGGGTTGCTAAAACAGCGAAGTCGCACACAACGAAAGCCGCCGCTACATCTTATTACGCCTGAGGGCAACCTTATCAATACTCCTGCAGCCGAAGCTTTTAACTATTATTCTGTCGATTCCTTTTCTACTGTGAACAAAATATATTGGAATCACCCCACACCGTACTGTGGGCTATGTCTCTTGAGCGTTAATTTCCATCAAGCATTAAATTAACGCTTTAAAGACAACATTTCATCCAGGTTTAGACGGAATCCGTCCAGTACTTTTAAAGTCCGGTGAATATGATGTCCCCAGCTTACTACTGAACTCAATTAATACATCAATAACAATTGGGTTTTATCCCGAGCAGGGGAAAGTTACGATAGTGACAACCGCCATAAAACTGGGCCTAGACATAACGTTAACAACTATCGGCCCATAAATCACACTGCTATAATTTCCAGAATCATAGAGCGCCTAATTAAAAGTAAAATCATTAAATTACTAACATCAAACAAACTTTTGTAACATTGGCAGTACGGATTTCTTCAAAAGCGTTCGTGTTACTTGCCAGCTAGATTTCTTTGGTCACTTAAAGAAGTCGACAGATTCTAGTAAGGCCTGTATCGTACTTCACTTAGACCTTCGACAGTTTCACATAAAACGCTTCAACATAAACTTCGCCTTAGTAAAATCATAGGATAACTACTATCCTAGTTAGAAGCTGACCTCATTGGTCGAAAGCAGAGAGTCAAGATAGATAAGTATCTGTCGGAAACAAGAGATATTACTAGTGGAGTGTTAGGTGGTAGTGTACTTGGCCCTCTTCTTTTCTGATATATGTAAATGATATTTTCCCTATAAGAAGGCATGACAGACTTTATTTGTTTGCAAATGATATAAAAATTTTGTGTGACGCTAATTCTTCATCTCTGTCTTTTATATCTGCGATCCAAGGTGACCTGGCTTCACTGGAAGACTGGTGTGTCAGATCGTCCATGCAATTTTCAACATCTGAACGCAGCATTTTGTGTTAGGGATGCTTGATTCCATCCGAATGTTTGTTTTTGCATGGAATCCCACTCTCTTTATGCAAATCGATGGATGACTTAGATCTCCGTTACTCAGTTTCGTTGAAATTAAGAGAACAAGTTGGGTATACAGTGGCTTAAACATGACAGACTATTGTAATGATAGGCTGCTTGTTTAAAACAAGCGATGTTAAGCTCCTGTCATTCAAACTGTACGCCAGACCATTATTAGAATACTGTGCCACCACTTTTAGTAGCATTAGAAGATGCGACATGAGTACAATCAAAGCTACAGAAAAGTTGACTGCAAAAAGAATCGTAGGCTGCATCTCTAAGCTCACTTATAAAGTTAGATGTCTTTGGTTAAAAATCGAACCGCTTTGGCTTCGAAGGCTAAAGCTGAATTTGTCTAGTATTCAAGTGTCCATCGACTGACACACTAGTTACCATCAGTCGGTGTTCCATGAATCTACACCGTAAGAAACAAAGGCTATGTGATCACGCTATCTCGTTGCCATACACGCCTATGGTACAACACGTTTACACATAAATATCCCACGCTACGGAACCGCTTGCTTCAGGCTACCAGGAGTTCATCTTCGCTGCCGGAATTTAAGATGCAACCAAAATCGTACTTAACTGTTAAAATACTAAAGAACTGTTTCGCGTTAGTTGAACAGACGACTGTGGGTACGAAAACGGGCCTGGTAACATTCATGCACCTGCAGAGTTCGCAGATAAAGATCGGGAGAAGGGTTTGTCATGAAAACGTGAAACACAGTGTTCTATTATCACGAGTTGTTTGCTAGGTAGATTAGCTGTCTCTTATTCCTTCCACCCACTTCATCAAATCTTTCGGTATTACTCAAATTGATGACCCGCCGATGGCCTACCAAGATATGGGCACATCGATAGGTTGGATGAAATGTAGCTCTGATTTTCTACTCGTCCATACTGTTATATCCTTCGCGTTACTCATATTGATGGCACAATGATAGCCTATGAAAACATGGGCACAAGTATAAATTGAATAGATTAGGTTTATTATTGATTTTTTCTTCATTTACACTGCTTTTCACTTAGTTCTTACTTAATCCGAAGACCTAATGATGGCATATGAAAAGATGCGCATATCGGCGATTCGAATCAACTAGCTTTCTCTTTTACCATGTAGTGTATCCTTTCCATTACACAGCCAGGTAAAAGGCATGAGTGCCTGCAAGACATGGACCTACTGAAAGGGTGAATTACTGATGCCTTGCAATATACCTACCCAATTTACGTGCGTAATTCCATTTGCCCCATATTATCATATCTTACCGCTTGGGCGAAGTACGTTGTTAATTTTAACTAATTTATTTGCCTCATGAGAGAAACAGTTCCCAGTTTAACAATTTACTGTGCTATCTTGTCTGTTCACCCATTAAAACTATTTAAAAATTTTCGCTATACACCAAAATTATGAATTTTGTAATTAGTTTCTATGTCCGTATTGTCAATTATCACTTTAAGGATTGTCATGTTTCTTTCTTCACACAACCATCCGCTTAAACGTGTCTAAACGATTTGCAACCGTCGTGAATCCCGGAGAATTTTGAAATGAAATCAATGGAAATATAATTACAAGTGTTCTTGCACAGCAGCGTTATAAAATCATTTTGCATCTCCTTTGTAGCTTATCATCGGACCTGCTTAGTTGGACTGTGTCACACCAAGTTGAGAATATCCCAATTTCAATGTGGTGCGGCTCATTCTCCACTGCCATGCCAGTTACGAACTGTGCAGAGCACAGTGGTTGGCCCCAGGAGTTACGACTTTCCGTATAGCGACTATTTATTTATGTAATGTGTTAACAGGGGATGCGCAGTTTACGGTACAAGTCGAAGAGGTCGGTAAGGGACGCAAGTACTCGCAAGGCAAGAGTCAGCGAAAGGAATCATTAATATCACCACAAAGCGACATAGGTTCAAGAGTGAAAAGAAACAGGAATCCAAAAGAATAATGGAAGACTTAGGACGACATGGTGTTTCAGGTTGCCTCCTAAATCATGTGCACGCAACAAACAAAGGACTAAAAATGAGGTCACGTGAAAATGAGGTTAGGGGCCAGAGACGATGGCCGATGAGTACGCTTCACGCTACCACAGAAATCTTAAATTCACGGTCACCTGTGTTTGAGCACAGATAGACAGCCGCATCAGGAAGTGAGACTAACTGCACACGAGGACCGTGAACGATGCATCGGAGTTGAACTAGTAACTGAAGACTTTGAAGTGCCTCATGATTGTTAAAGCAAATTTGCATCTCGATTAAATCGATGGAAAGGTTGTGTGTCGCTTTGAAATGACCTCGTCGATTCGGACACCTATATTTCGGGCAGTGTGCGCAACATAGCCGTCTTTACAGCTACGGGTAAATTCGCATAAGGAATGGGACATGCACTGACTCTGTGAGGAATGATCTTGAGGACACCAGCAAGCGATACTATTGAATTGTATGCCTTTTCGTTGAGGGATTTATTCGCTTTGCGATGACGTTCAAGATGTTATCCCCTTTGAACAGTAACTCAAGAAGGACTGTTTCTTTGCAACTCGTTGTCGCTCGACCTCGTTTCGTCTTGTCACTGGCGCGTTTATAAACTATGTCATCACACAAGTTGCATTTGGATATTTTTAGTTGGAAGTATAAAAGAAACTTTATGATGGACGAGAAGTTGGAAGTGAAGTTAGACCAGAGATTGTTGTGTGGTTTCTGTAGCACGCAACCAACGAAGTAGGTAAGAGGTGAAAGGCAGTATGCAATTACCGACAGCCGAACACAGCAGAGCGCATAGTGCAACGCAATGATTTGTTCCATGGGAATCCGGAATGAAACCGATTTTAAGTGCTTCTATAATGAGCAATAACAAAAGGGATGGAAAAGGAGAACTCACTTCAATGGGAGCGCTGCCGCATCGGCATTCATCGAACGCCGGAATTTTGGGTGCCATCGGCGAGGTGCTAGCGTCTTTGGCAGCAACAGGCTGAACATACTTGACGAAATTGAGGGGTGCCTCCAGGAGGAATCCACTAGAATCACATAGCAGCAGCCGAGTGACCAAGACTCTCCAATCCGGGTTGTTCGGTTGCGCTTGCAGTGGGAAGAGCACGTTAGCGAACAATTCTGAGAGCTGAGCGTGAAAATGAGAGACATGCAGGGGTGACAGAAGCCAATAATAAGGTGCGTACGAGTGCAGACCGAAAAAGCGACCAGTAGAAAACGCTCACGTGTAGCCGGACAAACGGCACAGTGCGGTCAAAGGGTTTAGACACCATTCGTAGTTGAAAATGAAAGAAAGCACCATCAGATAAAAAAGTAATTGTGCAAGAGCAGTTTAAAAAGTTCTCGGTCCGACAAAAGGGTAAAGGAACTAAACGCATTATGTCCTGGAAGTAGTTGTGCTAAATTTCAAGTTTCAATCTTTATTGGTTTGCGAGTGATGATGCACTGAACGAAGCTGGGATGCTTAATTTTTTGAAAATGAACAATCCCTGTAGAAAAAGAGTATGACGGCAAAAAATCCGTTCTGATACGGTTGAGACATGGTGAGGACTCTCCATTATATTCCACTTTTGAGAAATAGTTGCGAAAATCAAGAAGCGTAGGGAGAGTACTGAGGACTATCCACCATCTGTGTGCCCAAAATAGACATCGGATGACCAAGTGGAAGCAATTCGCCGAAGGATACTGAGTGACAGTATTTTATTGCTCAGATAGCTACGCCTATGGTCATCAGTTATGACTCAGTGCGCGTAAATCTAACAAAAATCCTGGATATGTGAAAGCTAACTGCAAGGAGAATGTTGACACCCGATCGAGAATCGGCAAATTCGAGGTAAGTTTTGACCCGTTTCGAGACAAATTCCGCAAATTTCCGCAAAAGAGTTGTTACGCAGAATGAAACAGGTTAATCACATTGAACCAGAAGCAAAATACACAGTGGGAACACAGCGGTTCTCTCCTCCCCCCTCTAAAGCAGTTCCGTTAAATGGCGTCCGTGGGACTGAGCGGTAAAACATCACACGCGAGTATTACCCAACAGAATTACGCCAAGTGAAACAAGCAATCAAAGAAATACGGAGAAGGAAGCTCGCAGCAGGCGTTCTACTTCTACATGATAACGCATCTGTTTACACTTTCCAAGCGACCGTGTCAGAAGCAGTCAGCTCTGACTTTGAAGTGCTGTCACCAAACCCTTTCCCTTCACTTATTCAGCGGATCTGGCTCCAGCACACTGTCATCTGAGCATTAAACTGAAATCTCACATCCGAGGTCACAGAGGTGCCAATAATGATAAACTGATGAGAAGGAAATTCTTCGGCCCATCCACACAGGACAGCAGTGCTTGAACACCGCTGGCCTAGGTGCATACAAGTTATAAGAGATTATCATATAAAGTAATACAGTATGACATACATAACTGGCTACTTTCTAGGTCGGGCCTAGAAGTTTAGATTTAGTATGTAGACTAACAAGTGTCATTTAATAAATGCTTCAAAGCGACTAATTGTCAGTTTGCATTGATTAAGGGCAGCTGTGTCAAAGAAGATGATGAAAAAATAACACCTGTCAAATGGATACTAAGCTATTGTGAGAAGGAGAAGGATGACCCAGTGTGTTTTTTCTTCCGAATGGACGCAGACAGTGAGGAAAACAAGGAACTCGATCAAACAAAATTGTCCGAAGAAACACTAATGAAGCACAAAACGACGAACAGATGACACAGAAAGCTCCTGTGATCTCACACCCGTTTCGGTCCATCAGAAAGTCGCCAACTTCTTTGTTACTTCTAAACGAATCACTAAAGCCGCCATACAATTGGTGATACGTCTGCGGTGCGTCCTGTACTACCCTTACAAACATGGTTCCGAAATTCGCTCCTGTATAGGAAAAGCGAAATCCTCTCCTGAGAATTAGTTCAACAAGGAAAGATTCATCGAGTCATAAGGACTCAGTAAGTGTTACCCACAATCTTTCCATGATATTCGGTCAGCTAGTGCCCAAAAGGGTTACGCGCTTGCCTTGTAATGCGGCGGTCATCTGTTCGGATCTGCTCAGGTGCGGGTGAGCTCGCAGTATAGGAAACACACGCGCAACAGGAGGTGAGTCATTATCGTTCAAAGGTACCTACCAACTTCCTTTTGGGTGCATCGTGTAGACCTACAAATGCAACAGAAACACCATGTTTTTAAAATATTACGAAATACTGGTAGCTCGGGTTGATGAATCAACTATTCATTTGTGCTCCGCTAAGCTCGGAGAACAAAGGAACAATTGACACCATGTATTAGTACAATAGGCAAGCCTCAGAGTAGCGTACTACCGCTTGTTACACGAAATAGTCCATCCGAGCGGAAGTTTGGTTCCCAGTTAACAACTCCCCCTCCACTACCCGGGACACCCACATTTTCCTGTCAACGGTGGTTTCACAGCGGCCATCATGTACATTTCCACTAAACCAGCTGAGTATATCCCACTGATTACTACGTTTGAACCTAAACCTCCAAGTTGCCCCTCACGTTGCAACGACATCGTGATCAGCCCACCCTCCTCCTTGTCCTCCATATTTGGGGAGATTGTAAATATAACACGCAATAAGCACAGCATCGACGTTATACTTCTAAATTCCCGCATATTACCTTGGTCAATGAGACATGATTAAATGATAATACGTCGTCTGTTGCCTACCAGATCGCAGGGTACAAAAGCTACAACAGCTTCCGATCCGGTAATCATGGTGGCAGATGCCTTGTATACACCAGAAATGACATCTATGCTTGCGCACTTACAGACCCCTATCTGAGCAAGCAGAAAAAATTCGGTCTTCTTCTCTGCTCATATAACTCAGCTCGACTTTCTTGTCGACTGAGTATACAACTCACCAAACTCTGATATAGCCACTGTAAACAAATTACTAAATGTATTTTACTGCGCTTCTAAGCATCTTGCGAACTATAAACTCATAATTGGCAATTTCCACATGCCGAATATTCCTTGGGGCACACCTACCTCATCTACAAAGTACGGTAGGTTTGCTACCTCCGTCCATTTCCATGCCTGGATTCAGCACGTAAGGTCGCCAACACGAACGAACCACATGCTCGATCTTCTCTTCACGCAAGATGTACCAGAAATGCCCGTCAATGTAATAAGCACGTTTCCCGGAAGCCAGCATAGGCTGATCGTGCATTCGTTTAGCTCAACGCCGCCAAAACTCGTTACCATCTACAAACCCGTAACAAGGTACCGCAAGCACGCCTTCACTGACTGGGAGTTAATTAGATATTTCAATAGATCGTCCCCATGGGACAGTTTTGTCTTAAATGCTGACCATCAAATCGTTGCGAATGAGTTCTATAGCAACGTCAGAACTTGTCTTGACGTGATCTTACCGCTTAAGCGTAAATGCCCTATAAAGCGAAAATATGGTGACAGCCTATTGGCTAAAATCACCAAAAAGATGGAATTCCTTCGCCAAAGTACAGACTGACGAACGATTTTTCACTAGTTCTACAACAGTAACAACTCTTAGCCAAGTACTATGCCTTTCGCCACTAAAGGTAAGCGGCGGAGAAAACGCATGCACTTTTGGGTGGCAAGAAAGAGCTAAAGTTGGCTGATCTCCCAAAACGTAGAAACCGCACGACGAATGAAATTAATTTTATCACGCTTCCCGATGGCTCTGTCGTTCATGACCCTATCTCCGTAAGGAAGCCTCTGAACTGGCAATTTGTCCACGTTTCAGCAAAACCACTCATTACCCTGCGTCCATCGTAACCTCCAACGTCTCTCTAAAGTAGAATTTTCACTCCGAAACATAGAAAAAACGGGGGAATGTGAAACTAGCTAACTACGAAGGTACTCATGCGCATGCTTCAATCGCACTAAAAGTAGGAAGGTAAGATATCCCTCTCCTTCTGCTCAATCGATTCTCTCTTTCAATGAAGGCCGACAAAGTACCCACACAGTGGTAGACAGCCACTGTTGTACCACGTCACAAAGCTGGACCCAGACATGACATTAGAAACTATCGGCAAATCAGTCACACGTCCATTATTTGCAGAATGATGGAGGGACTAATTGCCCCAAAAGTGGTAGATTTCCTACAAACAAGTGGCCTGCTTAATAGCGCACAATATGGATTTCTGAAGAAACACTCATGCGTAACATGTCACCTTGCCTTTCTCAACAATCTTACTTTCTCATTAGTGTGAGGGAAATCATCAGCAGTGATCTTCCTAGACATGCAGAAAGCTTACAGACAAAATCGCATCGGTTGAAATCAGCGACCCAGTGTTATCGTGGTTCAAGTCGTACTTTTCAAAAGGAATTCAGGTGGTTAGAATAAATGAAGGAAATTCATAGCCTAGACCAGCTATGAGTGACGTAGTTTAGGGCAGGGTTACCAGCCCACTACTCTTTTTAGTGTATATTAATGATATATTTGACGCAATACACTACGGTGTCACGTGTATTTGTTGATGAGGTGGAAATCGTTTACACCTTTGATTTTACTGACGGGAACCACATCACGAACGCTATTATATCTGATTTGAAAGCACCTGAGTTATGGTGCGTCAAATGTCATTCACAACCGAGAAATGCCGTGCCCCAACGTTCCGTTGTACAATCGCATGTGGTCCCTGGTTCTGTGTGGAAAGCAATAACATACGACTGTGCAGCAAAAGAGTTAGGTTTTCACTATTCGGGCTTATTGAACTTTATGCAGCACACAGCAAATGTAGTCGCTAAAGCTCGTCGAAACATTGGACTACTAATCAAAACATTCAAACTGCACGCTTCCATGGCCACCCTATAGAAGATAAAACCCGACCGCTTTTAGACGATTGTGCATTGATTTACAGTAACGCAAGAAAAGGTGATCGCCAGAAACTGGAGAAGTTGCAGTGATCGTTCACTAAACGTCCGCTGGGCGTGTGCACTCGAAGCTAATACCTACAGTGCTGTAAGGCCTTAAAAATGGGACAAGCTATAGTATTCGAGACAGCCACAATTTGCTAAAAATAGCAAGGCCTAGAACTCAGGCCCGTGTGAACTTTTACGTGATCGTTTACGCAAAGATATGAAACAAGCTTCCGTCTAAGCTACGAGAATGTAAATTATATGCAA